AGAGAGAGAGAGAGAAACAAAAAAAAAAAAAAAAGGAGGAGGAAGGAGAGGGGAGAGAAAAGGGAGGAGGGAGAGGAGGGAGAGGGGATAGGGCAGAGAGGCATAAGGATGAGGGAAGAGAGGAGGGAGAGAGAAGGGAGAAGAGGAGGGAGGAGGGAGAGGGCGGAGGAGCAGGAAGGTAAGAGCGTGAACGTTCGAGGAAATCCTAGGCGAAAGCGCCGTTCCTGAAGGAAGTCTCAGGCGGTAGCCCACGACGGGCGGGCGATTTTTTGACGGGCGGGTCGGGCCGGTGGGATATTTAAGCGGGATGCCTGAGTATGGCGAGAGCGCGATTACTAAGTAAATTGCAACGGCGTCCTTGGCGCAGCGTGTTTCCTGAGCGTCGAAAGCGCGATGGCAAAATAAATTGCATGCAAATCACAGGCGAGAGCGCAATTCCTGCATAAAATGTGAAAGGTTCTCTGGCGGGAGCGGGGGTCTTGATTAAATTGCGGGGAAGTCTTGATTCAATTGCGAGGAAGTCTCAAGCGAGAGCGCCGTTCCTGAGTAAATTGTAAAGAAATCTCAGATGAGAGCGGGGGTCCTGACTAAATTGCAAGGAAGTCACAAGCGGGAGCACCAATCCTGAGTAAATTGTGAGGAAGTCTCTGGAGTGGGGGTCTTGAATAAATTCAGAGGAAGTCTCAGGCGGGAGCCGTTGTTGTAATCCGGGGGGGCCAGGGCCCAATTTGAGCACCAAGACTTCCCCCGTCAAAAAACAGGGTGCGTCGAGGGACACACTTTGATTTAGAAGAAACAATATGCACCGGTGAGGGGGATCATCAATAATTGCTCCGAAATGAGAGTTCAACAACAACAACAACAACAACAACAACAACAACAACAACAACAACAACAACAACAACAACAACAACAACAACAATCATTTTAAGACTTCTCGCTCTTATCTGCTCACGTGTCACTCGACATGCATATCCCAAACCCTGGATACCCGCCCTCTTCGTCTTCGATCGTACCCCCTTTTGGGGGGTATATTCATTCCCTGCCACGAAGGGCAGCAACAGGGCCACGAAGGGCAGCGAACGAAGACGACCGCGGAACCAGTACGGGCAGCGAGGGGCATCGAAGGCGGGCGAAGGGCACCGAGCGGCGATTGCAGTCCCTAACGGGCTGGTCGGGCGGGCAGGCCCAGATGGGCGGGTCGAGCGGGCGGGTCGTTGAAGCGTAAATTCTGCCTGAATCACCAACCAATATGTAGCGGGAGCGCGATTCCTGAGTGTCGAGGAGCAGCATCTGAATAAATTGTGAGCAAGTATCAAGCGGGAGCCGCGATTCGGTGGTAAGTTGCAAGGACGTCCCAAGCGAGAGCGCGATTCTTCAATAAATTGTAAGGAAGTACCAAGCGGAAGCCGCGATCCGGTGGTAAATTGGAAGAAAGTCCCAGGCGAGAGCGCGATTCTTCAATAAATTGTAAGGAAATATCAGGAGGGAGCCGTTGTTGTTGTAAACGGGGGCCGACGACACTGTTTGACCCTCAAGACTCTCCCTGAAAAAAACGGTGTGCGAGCACTGGGAAAGGCACTTCAATCAAAAAAAGAATGTGCACCGGACGGGGGGGATCAACAATAATTATTCTTCAGAAGTGAGAGTTCAACCAACAACAACAACAACAACAACAATCATTTTACCCGAACGCTCAGTGTTCTCCCCAGTGCCAGGGTTTTCTTGCGACACCAGCCAATACCCCCACTTCGTGGGGGGGCCGTTCAAGCTCTACCAAATATCCAAACGACTCTTCGAGACCACCCACACCCAGCTTCCCGCCCTATGACGTTGGGACACTTCACTTCGTGGCGTGCGGACGACCCTGGCTACTACACTGGCGTGGGGTACACACCCACAGAGGTTGATCACATCTGTTACATATGATGTGGTACACGGTACACGTGAGATGGTACGCAGTGCCAAGATAGTTGGTCACATTTTTGGGGCAAATTCGTGGGGATGCGATTACAGAAGTACATGTGTTACACTGATGTTATACAGTCCCAAGGATGACGCATGCATTGCTCATAGACTCATGGCGCTATGATCCTAACTCTCAGTGCCCAACGCGCGCGTGCACAGCCAGACGGAGGGAGAGAAACACATGTATACAAGGTTCGTGACATACGCACGGTCCACCATGTTGTAAACGATCGCATGCACGGTAAGTTCTGAAATTAGGAGGAGAGGCCCTGTAGGAGAGGCCGGATAGGTGGTCCTGCGAGGTTGGTGGCCCTCGCAGGCGCGCAACCGTTGTTGGAGAAGTTCAAAGCACCTGAAGAAGTAGCACGCAAAGACCCTTTTGACAGAAATGTTTAAAAAGTGGTGTGTTTCCTATGAATCCGCAAGAGCGCGCGGAAGGACATTTTGACAATTTTTTCTTAAAAAACCATTGGGTTTTTGATGTTTTTATGTTAAAATCGTTACGAAACCTAAGGTTTTGGAAGGATTTCGTCTTGCGAGCGCGAATGTCCACTTTACCTTATTTTTTGCAAGGGATTCTTGAAATTTGATCAACTAAGAACAAGAATTTTCATTTTCTATTGTTTTTTGCAAGGGAAAACGAGCGTCAACAAAAAACCGGATCCGGGGGTAATCCACTTTTCTGAAGCTTTCGCAGAAAAATGATGAAAATGTAGCTGCGGCCTAGGTTTTGGGCGGGGGGCGTGCACCAGGGGGTCCAACAATAATAATTCTTTAGAAGTAATAGTGTTCAACAACAACAACAACAACAACAACAACAACAACAACAACAACAACAACAACAACAACAACAACAATCATTATAAGACTGTTCGCTCTTACTTGCCCGCGCGTCATTCAAAACGAGTCCCCCACACCCGCGGTACCCGCACATTTTGTCTTCGATCACACCCCCTTTGGGGGGATCATTTCTCTTTGCGGGGGGCGGCGGGCTAAGGCAGGCGGGCAAACCTGAAAGGGCGGACAATCCTCCGTGGGCATACATGTGCCCGCCATTGGAATTGGTGTGGGACCTGCAAAAAAAAGAAAGGGCGAACAAGGGAGAGGGGGGGGAAGGGAGGGGGAGGAACGAAGGAAGAGGGAAAACGCCAGGAGAGAAGGAGCGAAGAAGCGGGCGGTTGATCAGAGGCAGAGAGAGAGAGAGAGAGAAAAAAAAAAAAAAAAAAAAAAAATGAGAAACAATACAAAAAAACATGTAGGAGAGGTAGAGAAATAGAGAGAGAGGGGAGAGAGAAAGAAAGAGGGAGGGAGGAGGCAGGAGAGGGGAGGGAAAAGGGAGGAGGGAGAGGAGGGAGAGGGGACAGGGCAGAGAGGCAAAGGATGAGGGAAGAGAGGAGGGAGAGAGAGAAGGGAGGAGAGGAGGAAGGAGGGAGGAGGGAGATGTAACGGCGTCCTTGGCGCAGCGTGTTTCCTGAGCGTCGAAAGCGCGATTTCTGAATGAATTGCATGGGAGTCACAGGCGAGAGCGCAATTCCTGCATAAAATGTGAAAGGTTCTCTGGCGGGAACGGGGGTCTCGAGTAAATTGCGAAGAAATCTTGACTCAATTGCGAGGAAGTCTCAAGCGGGAGCGCTATTCCTGAGTAAATTGTGAGGAAATCTCAGATGGGAGCGGGGGTCCTGACTAAATTGCAAGGAAGTCGCAAGCGGGAGCATCGATCCTGAGTAAATTGTGAGGAAGTCTCAGGAGTGGGGGTCTTGAGCAAATTCAGAGGAAGTCTCAGGCGGGAGCCGTTGTTGTTGTAATCCGGGGGGCCAGGGGCCCAATTTGAGCACCAAGACTTCCCCTGTCAAAGAACAGGGTGCGAGCGTCGAGGGGAAGGCACACTTTGATTGAGAAAAAACAGCATGCACCGGTGAGGGGGGATCAACAATAATAATTCAAAAATGAGAGCTCAAGGACAGGGACCTTCCCTGGACCCGGGCGCTAAAAATATCCTACAGAAGCCTAATAAAGATCCTACAAACACCCTATAAGGATCCTACAGAAACCCTACCAGCTGCAATACGATCCCTACAAGGATCCTACCAGCTGCAAATGGATCCATACAGGGATCCTAACAGCTGTCATAGGATCCTTATAGGGAATCCTACCAGATGCAACAGGTTCCTACAGGGATCCTACAGATACCCTATACAGATCCTGCAGAAACCATATAAGGATCCTACAGAAACCCTATAAGGATCCCAGAAGATCCTTCTAGGGATCCTACCAGCTGCAAAAATACCTAGACGGATGATACCAGCTGCAATCGGACCCCTGCAGGGATCCGACAAGCTGTCACAGGATCCCTATGGGGATCCTACCAGCTGTAATAAGATCCTTATATGGATCCTACCAGCTGCACCAGGATCCTTGTGGGGATCCTCAAAGCTGAACTAGGATCCCTACAGGGATCCGACCAGCTGCAATGAGATACGTATAGGGATCCTACCAGCTGCAATAGGATCCCTACACGGACCCTACCAGCTGTCGTAGGAACCCCATAGGGATCCTACCAGCTGCGCTAGGATCCTTTACAAGGATCTTCCCAGCTGCAATACGATCCCTACCGGGATCCTATAGAAACCCTAGAGGGATCCTACACAATCCCTACTTAGGGATCCTACAATTACCCAAATAGGATCCAACCGGATCCAAATAGGGATCCTACCAGCTGCAATAGGATCCCTAAAGGAATCCTTCCAGCTGCAATGGGATCCATACAGGGATCCTACTAGCTGTCATGGGATCCTTATCGGGATCTTACCAGCTGCAATAGGATCCCTACAGGGATCCTACCAGCTGCAATAGGATGCCTACAGGGACCCGACCAGCTGTCATAGGATCCCTATCGGGATCCTCCCAGCTGCAATAAGATCCCTACAAGGACCCTACCAGCTGTCATAAGATCCCTACAGGGATCAGACCAGCTGCACCAGGATCCTTCTAGAGATCCTCCCAGTTGCAATAGGATCCCTACAGGGATCCTCCCAGCTGCAATAGGACCCCATATAAGGAATCTACCAGCTGAAATAGGATCCCCACAGGGATCCCACCAGCCTCCTGCGGGGCCACGAAACGCCTGAGGCGTGCTCCGAAATTAGCCCGAAGCCTTCGGTGGACCCTCCTGCGGGGCCACGAAAAGTGCGAGGGGTGCTCCGAAATTGGCTCGAAGCCCTTGGTGGAGCCTGCTGTGGGACCAGGAAACGCATGAGGGGTGCTCCGAAATGGGCCCAAAACCTTAGGGGGAGCCTCATGCGGGGCCACGAAACGTGTGCGAGGTGCTCAAAACATTGCCCGAAGCTTTCCAGCTCTGGAACGATCCCGACGAAGATCCGTGCAGCTCTGGTACGATGCCTATAAGAACTGATGCAGCTCTGGTACGAGGGAGACGCGAGACGGGAGGAGGACGCAGAGGGAGACGAATTGCGGAGGCGGCGGAGAGACGATGGCGTAGGGGGCACGAGATCGGGCAGGGCGCGGGCCCCGAAGCCGAGGACCCGCCGCGGCCTCGGCCGCGGCGAGTCCCGGCCCGGGCGCGCCCCCGAACGGCGGCACGCGAGCGACTTGCGAGACCTGCGCGGGCGACTGGAGGCCTCCCACACGGGGTCCGAGCAGATGGGGTCGACGGATCGCGCCGCATCGCCGATGCAGTGGCAGTGCATCAACGATGCATCGGCGACGACGCCGCGGACAAAATCGGGCCTCACATCGACCCGCATCGCCGATGCATCGGCGATGCGGTGCGATTTTTCGCCCCCACCCACTCGGACCCCGTCTGGGAGGCCTCGAGCGACGGCCCGCTCTCCGCGCCACCGCCGCGCGCGCACGCGCGGCGCGCGCGGTGCCCTGGCGGCCGCGGCAGCGGCGCGCCCCGCGCGGCGCTGCGACGATCGGGCGCGGCGGCTGTCGCCGCCGAGCTCACGGCTGGAAGACGGGCAGCGCCCCCGTGGCCGCCGAGCGGCAGAACGGGCACGCCGGGGGCGCCGCCGCGGCCCCGCCGAGGATGCGCGAGCGGCAGTCGCCGCACAGCATGTGCCCGCAGGGGACGGGCGGAAGAACAGAGAGCGGCACGGGCACGAGCCTTCGGAGGCCCGCACGGAGTTCTCGGGTCGGCGCTGGCCCCCCCTGGCTCGCGAAGCGCACCAGAAGGCGGCGCCACAGGCACCGCCAGCGGGGAGACCCAGCGCCGGTCCAAGGAATCCATGCGGACCTCCGAAGATGCATGTTCATGCCGCCGTTCCTTCTTCGAGATGAGGGTCTCCATGAACGCGTCCTGCTGGCACACCCCGCAGGTCCGCCAGAGGTTCCCCTGCCGCGCTTCGCCGCCGCCGCCGCCGAGGCTTTGTTCCGGGGGGCGCAGCAGCGTCAGTGCGCAGTAGCACAGGAGGGCCACCGCCCCGAAACAGAGCAGCAGGAGCACCAGGGCCCGCACCGGGCCCAGTGCTGGGACCTGCTGGCCGCACGCACGGCCCTTCTCGAAGGCCGACCGCCTCTGAGAAGGCGTGGGGGGGCTAAGATCTTCCAAGAATCCCCCAGCCTTCCAAAGGCACCAGAGGCACGAAAGAGCGCCAATAGGTGAACAAAGAATGGCATCAATAGAAACTTTCGGAGGTTCGCGCGGATGTCTTGGATCGGCGCTGGACCCCCCTTCCTGGCGCGTGCAGCGCTCCAGGGGAGGCGCCGCCAAGGGGGCCCAGTGCATATCCAAGAGATCCGCGCGGAGCTTCGACAGTCTATGTTCATGCAGGCACCGAGGCGGCGGCTGCGGCGGCGGCCCGCACTTGACCCTGGCCCGGCGGCTGCAGCGGCGGCGGCGGCGGTCAGCGGGGAATGCAGCCCCCTCGCCAGAGCACCCGTTTGCGCGCCGCCGCCGAGACCTGGCGCACCGCCGCCAGCGCCAGGGGCCCCGCCGGCAGCGGGCGGAGGCTCACCACGGCCATGCGGCCATGGGCCCACCCCGGGGAGGAGGGCCGGCGGGGGCCGCGCTACATTGTCGTGGCGCCCAGGCGCCCACCGCCCCCTGCTCGGGCCGCACGCGGCCCCCGTCAGCGCCCGTCCTCCTCTGGCTCCTCCTCCTCCTCCGCCTCCTCCTCCTCCACTTTCCGCTCCTCCTCCTCCTCCTCCTCCTCCTCCTCCTCCTCTTCCTCCTCCTCCTCCTCCTCCTCCTCCTCCTCCTCCTCTCCCTCCTCCTCCACTTTCCGCTCCTCCTCCTCCTGCTAGGTTGCAAAGTATATCATCCCATCACCTGCTCTCGCTGCGAGCCGCCGTTCCATTCCCGTACTAAGCGATTCGACCGGACATCACACCCCCAGCGACTGATATCATAGCCAGTCTTAGGCGGCGGTCCAACGCACCACCGATCAAGGTCACAGCAAGTTCGCGGTAGCTGAATCGACGGGATCCGCTCTCCAGCTAGACTAGAAATTGGGAGTTCGGGGGCCGCCCCACGCACAGCCATTTAGGGTCAGCGACTACGGACCAATACATCGCAAGGTCGAGGCAGCACCTGACCCGCTGATTCTACTTAAGAGGTGCTATCCGAGCACAGCCGTTCAGGGTCAAGGACTGCGGCAGTGCACAGCAAGTTCGCGGTAGCCCCTGACCCGCTGGATTTGACCAGATGAGCGCCCCAGCGAGACTCCGTTTCTCCCCCCCCAGCCTGTCTTCGTGATGCCGCGCGTGCACCCAAGGATTTCTCCACCCGCCCAGCTCACCTCTGACTCATGCATCTCCTCCAACCCCTTCACTCCTCGGCTGCGGTTTCCGCCGCCTGGTCGTCGTCCGTCGTCATCATCGCTGGGCTCGCCCCGTGACCGGAGGGGGGAAGGTGGGTCGGCGCTTGGAGCGCAGAGTTCTCTCGCTCCCACCCATTCAGTTCAATGTCTTATCGAGCCTCATTCTCACAGAACCTGGAGGGGGAGGAGGAGGAGGAGGAGGAGGAGGGGGAAGGGGGAGGGGTCTGGGGTGGGATGGGATGGAAAAAGAGGAGGAAGAGGAGGAGGAAGAGGAGGAGGAGGAGGAGGAGCAGGAGGAAGAGGAGGAAGAGGAGGAGGAAAGGAAATTAAGAGGAAGTGCAGGTGGCGTCAGCAAACACACGTTTGACCACGAGCAGCGCCGTGCAGCACAGCAGGATCGACGAGAAACCAGGCGCAGGAACGATCTTCACCCGCGCGCGCGGGGAAGCGTTCGTAGCGACATGGAAGAGTTCCAAGCAGCCCGCACCGACTCCGCGACATTTAGAGCGAGGGGGACAACACTTGTCAGTGCCGCTCCGGCCACTCCGCCCGGGCATAATACACACGATGCTGTCGTGTCTTGCGATCGCGTGTTGCAACACAGCTTACCTGCTGGACAACGCGAACCGATAACAAATTCCGACAGCGACACGAATAGGAGGGCCAGGCGCAATTCAGGACATCGCTCTCGCCGCAGCACCACGCACATTCGTCTCGAAGTTTTCGATTACAGGGAAGCCAGTCGTTTTCGGAATGTGGCTCTCGCACTAGCGCCTCGCATTCGTCTGGAAAGCTTCCAACAGCTACACACATGGAGGATTGGCAGTTTCCGAAATGCGGCTGCCGCCGTAGAGTCGAGCGCATTCGTCTGGAAAACTTCGAGCTGTCACGCGCATGGAAGCCCATGTACGTTTTCAAACTGGTTCCTCGCCTGAGACCTCCTTCGATATACCACCACGAGTGTACGATTGTGCAGCAGGCACAAGGATGGAGGGCGGCTCCTTTTTCAGGATGGTGATCCTGCCCGAGACCTCAGAGGTGCACGGTTTCCCCCGGGGCGGTAGGGGACCCGAGGAGGAGGTGGAGGAGCAGATGCAGGAGATGGAAGAATGGAGGAAATGGAGGAGGAGGAGGACGGAGGAGGAGGAGAAGGAGGAGAAGGTGGAACGCACGCGATAAAGGGGGGAGGCGGGCCAGCAGCAACAGCAGCGAGAGGAAGGAAGTCCTGGCCATCCGCGCCGCCGCACCACATGAGCGCTGAGCTACCCTATGAAGGGCGCCAGCCGAACGCGACGCCTCTTCAGTTGCTTGAGGCGGGCGCGCATCCAAGATTTCACGGGTAGCCGCGCGCGCGCCCCCCGGCGGACCAGCCTCGGGCGAACCGGCAATTGGCTGCCAAATGGGGCACTGCGCAGGAAAGAAGCCGGGCCTGCGCGCACGGCCCCCAGCAGGGGCACTGCGGAACTACAGAGAAGCCAGGCCGGCGCGCCCGCGGCCCCCGGCAGACCAGCCTCGGGCGAACCGGCAACTGGCTGCCAGGGGCGCAGCGCTGAAAGTCGGGCGCGAAGTTACCGGAGCACTGAGCTACCCAATGAAGGGTGCCAGCCGAGCGCAACGCCTCTTCAGTTGCTGGAGGCGGGCGCCCATCCGATTTTTCAGCCGCCGAGCCCCACTCTGGGGCTGAAAGGATGGCGCGGAGCGCAAATCGTGATAGGCCTGAAATGCAAAATCGATCAAAAAGGAAGCACAAAACTAGCTCGTTTTAAAGACGAGGCAGCCCACGGGAAACTGGACGGCGTTTCGGGACAAGGAGAAGGGAACGACGGAGAAAACGAGATGGAAGCCTGGGCGCCATCAACAACTATCGGGCAACTAAGACAACACAAAAAAGAATCGGACTCAAGTTCACCACAGAAGATACACGGAACCTTGGGGGCCCGAAAGCGAGCAGAACAGCACCAGCTGTCCGAAAACGTTTTTAAAACCGAAACAACGGCACAGCTAGGGATGGCTGTTTCAAGCCTACGGAGCGCCATCAGAGCCGGGCCACAGTCACGACGTCTCGAAGAGACACCCAATTTCTTCACGCGGTAGAGGAGCGGAACACGGAACCCTTCTGGAGCAACACTTCGGAGCCATCTTTCGGTCGCGGCCTGGATCCTCGGGGCGCCAACGGTCGGAACCTGGGGGGTCGCGAGCAACTGGTCGAAATTAGCAAAGTACGAACGAGGAATTCTGAAGCCACAACGGGTCTCTGTCCCACAGAATTCTGCACTCGTCGTTGGCGGCCATCGCTTGAATTCGGGTCCGAGAACGGCGAAGCGGTACAAGGTGGCCCTCGACGCCAGGTCCAGCCTGCGCATCTGACATGGAAGCCCGAGCGAGCACAGATTCTCGAACATGACAGAACCGAGCGACTTCCGCGGCCCGCGTGCCATGGTTTGCCCAGCTGCAGAAACGGTATCATATAGATACTTGGGAGGAGAGAAGAACTGCATCACGTACGATAGACAACTGAACGCATTCTGATCGAGGAAGGCGATGCTTTTCACGAGACCGATCCCAAGAACCTTGACATCGTGACTCCGAGCGAGACATCTACGAGCAGGAACGATCCACGACTGCCCATTGCCCCCACGACCAAGATACACCCCAAGATACTTGGCATACTGCGCAACCTAGAACGACGAAGGGAGACCAGCAGCACGCACGAGGCGATCCTATTCAGCAGGAGGGAGGTCGGCAAAGGAAACCATGACACACTTACATTCGTCATGGACTAGCCCTGCAGCGTGAACGGCAAATTCAAAAACGGGAAGGGCACAAGCTAGCGCTCGATAAACATCTTGCGCACATAGCCCAGCATCGTCAGCACGAGCCCCGAGCACTGACGGGGTTCGCGTGAGCCTCGCGCCCAGCATCCGAAGGACGGGGTCGATGCACGGAACGAGGAGGGATGAGGAGAGCGCGCATCCTTGTTTAATCCCACGCTTAACCCTTAACCCACCAGCCAGCATCCTGAGGTCCACCTAGGGAGACAAAAACCTAAGCATCAGCACAAAGCGCGGCGACGGCCCGTCGGATTTGCCCGAGGAACTTCTGGGCCCGCAGGACAAACATGATTGTGCTGCGGAGGAAACTTGGAAAGGCAGCCTTGATATCGAAAGTCACGCAGCGCGATTTGAATCCCGTCCTGGACAAACCATTCAATCGCCCTGGATTCAAGAGCACCCACGTTGGCGGCGAAGCTTCTGCCAAGAATCAAACCCCGCTGAAAGTCGATGGAACATTCTTGATGGACCCGCGTCATCGGCTGATTGGCTGCTCGACTGACTTGATTATTGCCCGAGCTACCTAGCGCAATCGGCCTGGCCTGCCCAGGGGCGCGGAAGACCCCCTCGAAAGCGTCGACGGGGCTCTCCCCTCTGGCAGAAAGACGGCAACTCCGCGGTTAAAACTGGCAGGCAGCCGCCCGCGGGCAAGAAGATCCGGGCACACCTCACACAAAGGATCCATCGGGCAAGTGCCACCTCGAGAACACGCACTAGATGGAATGCCATCGGGGCCAGGGCGGGGATATCTAGCGCGATTGGCGGACTGGCAAAACCCCTCAAACTCAAGTTTCCAGAACAGAGCTCGGGCATGCACTTCCCCCCATTGCTGGGCACGAAACTGGGCAGCGGAGGGATGGTCCGAAACTTGCTGGCCTGTCGGGTCGGCGACGCCAGAAAGAATAATCATCCTTTCCTCCTCCCCCACGCACTCAAGTAAGATGTTAGTTTGTCGCGAACAGCTTGTGCTTGAATCGACGGACGGTCGGGTTCCTTTCTCTCCTGGAGCCCCCTTCTGAAGCTGAAGAGTCTCGAGCTGCCCAAAGAACTCACGAAAGCCCGAGAGTTCAACCCAATTCCCAGACAGCCCACTGATAAACCGCCGCAAATCAGGAAAAGCACCCAGAGACCTCTGAAGAGAAAGGAGTCGCCCTCGACGAACACAACGAAGGACCGCCAAAGCCAGATGGATCTTCTCCTCCACAGACAAGGGGCCACCAGATCGGGAATACTCGATAACACGTTTCGCAGCCTCTTGGATGATGTCTCCAGTCTCAGCCAGGGCGATGGAGGGGTCAGGATCGCGAGGGCCCGCATGATCCAGGAGGTCCCTGAGGAACGGCAGGCACCGAGGATACCTGGGAGCCGGGGAGGGGGCCCGAAATCCACCCGGCTGCGAACGACTGGCGCATGATCAGACATGGGCCAGTCCCCCTGGATGTCCCAGAGCGACAAACTG